CACAAACTACACATTATAGAAATTTATATTATCCCTAAGATCAAAGACTGAAAAAGTGCTATGATAAACAGGGGGTGACTAGCCACGCCTTTCACCAAGATGATGCATTTCAAACTTTTAGTGCATTATAAGAGTGACAGTCAATCCTTTAGCGTGTATGGTGGGTGGTAGTGTGCTGCTTACTTTCAAAATTAGAAACAACAATAGATAGCCTTAGTAGCTTTGCCACAACATTTTTTTTTTTTTACCACAACGCGAAACTACTTGGTAAAAACAAATTTGTATAGCTTTGTTGTTATATAATTCTCGATATTAAATATACCGAATAACCTTCTAGTATTAGTTCAGGTTTTCAAAAATTCGGCAGTAATTAATAAACAAGATTTAAAGTTTACCTAATCATTTATATTACCATTTGAAAAAAAATAAATAAATTCACGCTTATTTAACTGTGTTGCATTCTACGTTACTTAGAATCTCCCAACCTATAAAGTATTTATTCTATACTCATTTACTGGCAAGATTTAAATGACTTGGCATACTAGTCTTTTAAGGCTCATAGATTTCCTTGTCGCTTCATCTGACAATGAAAACGCCTTCAATAAGATGAAACTAATAAACAAAAAAAAGCTTTGATCGACTCTAACATATGACCGACTGGACAACTTGTTAGTTATGACTTGTAGATAGGATATCACTGCCATTAGCAATCCAAGTGATATTTTACGTTTATGGGTTCAACTAAAAAAAAGATGTGAAGAAGCTGAGTTCGTTATAGTTAAAACTACTTTGGAGCCTTGGAACGTAGTTTCCATTACAAAAGGTTCCGTAGTTAGCTGTCATATCCAAAGCATACCCTTCCATCCTTCAGGCTTAACAAAAGTCATCTAGTATGCAAGGACGGTGGCTTCTAAGTATCTGTTTTATCAATCCAATCACAAAAGAATCTGTAGGCGATGCGTCCAATAATTTGACTAGTATATCTTCATACAGAATACCTGATTATTCATTTCATTCTCTAGCTGCTTGAGGTATGCTATGGTTGAACAAACATTTTGTAAAAGCAACTTGTGTATACGTGACTTGTGTTGCTTTTCCAGAGGGAGATCCTTCTTCATTAAGTTTCGTATTGTTGTAAGATTGTTCCTTTGTTGTTCTTTTAAATTATTTAGTAAAATAATTTTCATTCTAGTCTACGTAATGGTAACAAATTAGTTTATTCCTTTCTTAATGTTTCTACATTGTTGCAAATAGCATTCAAACGGTTTGGTTTGTTTGAATTTTGCGCAAAGCTATAAGAAGGCTATCTGCTGTAGCCGTCCTAATTTAGCAGTGATAGAGTAGAGGGAAAGCAGCTAGTCAACACCATCCTCCGCCAACGGTTGGGATACCCTTGTATCAACTAATAGTGGGATTGACCGTAACATATTAACGCCTCCACGGCTGAAAGGGCGAGCATGTTTGGTGCGATTCGAACTCGCGACCTTCAGATTGCGAATCGAGCGCCCTAACCACCAGACCATGCCAGGTCGCATTCAAACGGAAATGCTCTGTTAACGAAATGTGACTAACGTAAAAATACACTTACTTATAGAATTTCATGGTTAATCGATCCAGTAGCTGAATAGTATGGATAATTAACATTAATTCAAACACTTCAATAAAATCAAATACTTCACTGGACCAAAATGCCTGACCTACTGCTTGTCGATTCTCATATTTATAACGAAGCCGAAGTCTCGTTCCTAGACACTTCATATAAACAATGGAGTAATGTGCGAAAAAAGTTACAAACGTAAATCAGAAAATATTAAGAGTCGTGAGATCTGGACTTTTATTTCTGTTTGCCACATCACAGATTGTAAATTTACGATTTGGTGATAAAGCTTTTTTGTTGTTGTTGTTGTTTGTTTTTTGTTTTTGCATGCTGCAAGTTTTTTATATAAAAGCTCGCGAGTTATCACTAGACCTCTTTTATGATTTTTGGTTGTCTTTTATCCGGGGAATTTTTATTCCATTCAGTAAAAGTTCAGTTTCAACTAGACTAATAAGAAGGGCATTATTATTAAGCTTGAAAAAATTACGTAAAAATTGTGAAGAAGACATATTGTTTGTTTGTTTGTTTGTTTGGGAATTTCGCGCAAAGCTACACGAGTGCTATCTGCGCTAGCCG